GGGAAAATGAGTTTTAAGTTACACGGGCAAGTACACGACCGTGTTGGAGGCCGTGTAACCTCGCTGCCCTAAAAAAAAAAATTTCCTAATCTTTCTAATATGAGGTTTTAACGGTCCTAAATGATATTTTGTGATTAATTGAGTTTTCTAGAACTAAAATGGCTAAGTTATACGAAGTTTTTATAAGAAATTAGGTTAAGGACGGTACGTAATGGGTATATAAAATAGAAACCAAGGCAAGTGGGAGTCCGAAATGATTCAAGGCCAAGTAAGTGTTCGAAGGTTTTCATCAACAAAAGGGTTTAGACTTCAATGAGGCATTTATTCGGTGGTTAAGCCTATTTATTATGTTCTTACTTTGGCAATAAAAAAAATTAGCCAATCCATAATTAGATGTGCATAATGCTTTTTTGAATGGCATCCTAATTGAAGATGTGTATATGCAATAACTTCTCAACTTTGTTGATGTTAGACTATCCAATTATGTGTGCAAGCTGCATTAGTCCTTTACGACTTGAAGCAATCCCTTTGGGTATGATTTTCTTGTCTCCATGAATTTTTCTCTCTCTTGATTTTGTGGGATCTAAAACTGACACTTCTTTAATTGTTTATAACAAACTTAGTGTCAATATCCTCGTCTATACCGATTACATTCTAATTGTTGGATCTTCCGATTCTCTAATTTCTTTTATCATTGAAAGCCTCAACAAGAAATTTTCAATTTGGGATTTGGAAGCAATAACATATTTTTAAGGGTGGAGTTAGTTTATCAATTTGATGGGTTTTTATTAAGCTAGAAGAAATACATACGGGACATGTTAATTTGAATAAGGATGGCCGAGTGTAAACCTATTTTTACTCGTATGTCTACTACATCAAAATTGTTTTAGAATTTAGATTAAATATTTGAGGATGTAACACGTTATAGACAAGTAGTGGGTGATCTCCAATATGTCACACTTACTAGACCATATGTTATATTTATCGTTAATAAGGTCAACCAATTTATGCATTCTTTTAAAGCCAAACATTAGATGATGGATCATGATTTATTTCTTACCCATCAAAGCAATTTATTATTATATGGTTTTTCCGAATCGATTGGGTAGGGAGTTTAGATGATCGAAAATCCATGTGTGGTTTTGCAATATATCTAAGGCATTATTTAATCTCTTAGAAATTATACAAGTAGAAAAAAATGTCAAAGGAGTTGTATAGAGGCTGAATACAAGGCAATGGGCGATGCAGCGAGCTATAATTGTTTGGTTAAAATCATTGCTTAAAAATTTAGGCATTCATCTACCTAAACCATCGCTGTTGTGGTGTGATAACATTGGAGGCACTTATCTTGTAGTTAATCCATTATTTCATGCAAGAACTGAGCATATTAAAATTGATTTTCATTTTCTTTGGGATATGGTAGCAAAAAGTGAGTTGTAAGTCCAATTTATGTCAAGATAAGATCAAATTACGACTATCTTTTCTAAACCATTACAACTAATCGCTTTATCATGCTTAGAGACAAACCGATCATCATGTGCATATAGTTATCGGATTATGAGGGAGTATTAGAGCAAGCCTGCAGTGCCCATTTATCATCAATTCAAACTCCTCCTCTTGTATAGAGTCCTATCAACAAATTTAATAAAGATTAGGATAGAGTTTGAGTAAGCTTTGTATTGTTAGTTTAGCTAACTCTTTTGAAATATATCTCTTGTAATCGATTTGCTTGTGTGTGTGTGTATGTATCGGAGAGACTCACTGAAATTAGTGCGGACAAAATATTTCTTTCAAACTAGCTCACGTGATTTAAGTGGCTTACATATAGTTGTGGAAATAAAAGTTCATTTATGTTAGAAAATATTATAGATTATATTCGGAGATTAATAGTTTAAATTTTTTGATTGCAATGACTTTTTGATATGATATCGAGTTTTGATAATCAAACTTTCTTGAATTCAAATCTCATTATCTCTACTTTTTCTCTTAGTTAAAATTGAATTCTTAATTGTAAAGTAGTGGAGGGTCCGTACAAGTTTAATGCTAAAAGACTTTTATATTAAAAAGACTATGTTTGAGAATTATATAAATCATATTGTAAAATCTTACCCAACACTTAAATATTTTAGTTGAGATAATCCTTTGACAATTTCAAAATGATATCCAAATATTTTCTTTAGTGTGGTTTTAGTAATGCAATGGATTTTTTTTTTAAAAAAAAAATGCTTTTGAATTGAAAACAAATTAAATTGATATTTCTCGAATGCTCTTTGATAGTTTTAATTTTAACATATCAAAACCATACTAAAAAATTAAAACAATTGATGTTGTTTTAATCGAAAGACATTTTGAAAAACGAGTTTTAAATATATTATCAAACACACACTTAATAACACTTACCATTTCAAAATGATATTATTATTGTTGTAGCCCATTATATGTGGTTAGGAAATCAAAAGATTATCTTTAATAGTTATTAAATTGGAGGATAAGTTATATTAGCACGTTATAAATTGAATGGACTCGCCAAAATACAAATGGGAAAATATTCTAAGTACCTCTAGCAATTAATACGTTTTTAGGTTTTTTTTTTTATATCAATTCAAATACTGTAGATGAAAGGTTTGCACTCATGATCAACTTACTTAATGCATACAAAAATGTTATTCAAATAAAAGCTAGTTAATTTAACCATAGCCGATGAAGGGAGAATAGAAAATACTCCATAAAACTTATCTTTATCTCCATTCGATAATAATTAGGAGAATTCAACTCCCTTACCACAAAGATTGGAAGCAACTAGACTAGGCTCTTCGGGTGTTGATTTTTTATTAGAATCACCAAAAAGTCAAATGCTTATAAACGTTTCCAAGAATGACCAACTATATTTGGGTGTGTTTGATAACCTATTTAAGTAATTTAAAAAATTAATTTGTAGTACTTAATATAAAAAGTTTGTTTGATAATCTAAATAATCTCATATTTAAAATTTAAATTCAGTCAAAATTCACTTAATTAGGTAAGTTAAAGTTTTTAACTTAAAACTTTTTGATTAAGTTCCCTTGCCACAAAGATTGGAAGAAACTGGACTAGGCTCTTTGGGTGTCGATTTTTTTATTGGAATCATCGAAAAATCAAATGTTTATGAACGTTTCTAAGAATGACCAACTATATAGGGTGTGTTTAATAATGTATTTAAGTAACTTAAAAAAATAAGTTGTAGTACTTAATATAAAAAATTTGTTTGATAATCTAAATAATATCATATCTAAAATTTAAATTCAATCAAAATCCACTTAATTAGACAAGTTAAAGTTCTTAACTTAAAATTTTTTTATTTATATGCTCGGTTGAAAGTTTTTTAAAAACTTTTTAAATATAGCTATATAGCGTTTTATAAACGAAGGGAATGAGTCTTTTAACATTTATGAATTTGAAGGGAATGAGTCTTTTCCTATTGTGAAACATCTGGTGGCCAAGGAGAATTGAAACTCTTAAGACTTTAAATAATACAGACATTGAAATTCTTTGGTATTCGTAGGACTGGACTACTTAAACAACCTTGAGTAGTGGCCCCACTTCACACCCAATTCAACTTTCTTTTCACTCCAACGTAATTTATCTTATTACAGTATCCTTCGTAGCATCACCATAAAATAACTCTAAAATATAGATTTCAAAAATATCCTACAGTAAGTATGTTATAAAAAAATTAAATGAACAAACTAAATTATTTTTTTTAAACTTATACATGCAAGGTTATCTTAGATCATGTTTAATTTTTTTTATTAATAATCATTTTTATTAAATAATTATTTATTTATACACATAAACATATTTATGTATATATTTTTATTTGTGTTAAAAAATATCATGTTAAAATTGTAATGCATATAGCCTTAATATGTTCAGTAACAATACTTATCAAACAATCTTATTATATTCAACACTTAATTTTCAATAAATATCAAATAGCTTGTCTACAACATATTCAATACTTAATTTTTAACATTTAAAATTCAGTATTTAATAGATTTAATACTTAATTTTTAAATTTATCAAAAACCATTTATGTATGCGAATAATAATTCACTATGAAAGAGTGAAAACGTGTTTTGGTTGTTTTGGAATATATGTCCATTATTTGGTCAAATGATGTTGTGACACGTACGTGATTTTATTTTTTTCTTTAGGCTTCTTACACATACGTACATATTTAAAGTAATTGAACTTTTTTTTTTTTTTCAATCACGTTCTGAACAACTATTTTTAATGGAAATATTTATTTGTACATCCATTATTTCTGTTTTTTCGCTATGGAGTATTTTAACTCTCGATTTTATTCAATAAAATATTTGAACTATCTATTTATTTTTCATTCAAGCACCAAAACGTCCTCCAGAATTAAACTTACAGTAAATATATATAGCCCATAGGTTTATCACTACTTAAATTAGCCTTGATTTTGGAAGTGCATGTCATGTCGTTATTCAAAGTTCATGCCATTTTATTTTTAACAAAGATCAAATTAATACTTGATTGATAAATCACAAATAACTAGGAGCCTGCAGGATACTTTATCGAAAGGAAAAGAGTTAAAATACTTGATTAAAAAGTTACGAAAATTCATGTTTTGGAGTGCATTTTTCCATGCGTGTTCAATATGAGTTCCGTTCCCTTCAAAATATCTTTACTGCCCATCAGATCAGAGGGCCATTGGTTTTCAAAATGATATTGGTGGATGGTCTCCCAAAGGCAAGCGCCTTCAATGTATTCTCCTTCAATTATTGAAATGATGGATCCTTGTAAAATATCTGTACTGCCTGTCAAATCAGAGGGCTATTGGTTCTTAATTAATTACTTGCGAGATACGGAATGCATCCTTGTCGGTCAATGGCAGACTTGAAGTCCATGCCCATGGGGTTATAAATTACAACAACATGAAGTCAAGTACCCAATAGAAGGCAACGTACATACACAAAAATAAAATATAGGGAGAGATGGAAATGATGGAGGATGTGGTGATAGTTGGAGCAGGAATTGCAGGGTTGGCAACAGCAGTGGCTCTGAAAAGAGTAGGGGTTCGAAGTTTGGTGTTAGAGAAATCACAAGGGTTCAGAGCCACAGGTGCAGCCTTAACCCTCAGTCCAAACGCTTGGATTGCCCTTGATGCTCTTGGTGTTTCTCACAAGCTCACCCCCGTTTATGTTCCTTCTTTGAAGTAATAAATTATTTCACTGTCTTTCTTAATTCTATTATTTTGTTTATTTTTTATTATATCTTTCCATCTTTTCTTGAGTTTGGATTTTAGATATTATATCTTGAATGATTAATTAATTTCTTGTGTACTTGTATTTCCTCATAATTTAGGGCATATGTGACCGATGTTAGTACCGGAGATGTTCAACAAGTCTTCTTCCCTGTTACCAACAATGGGTAATTAACCTTTAGAACCTTACTAAAATAATTTCTTGCCCTTTTTCTTTATACAATTTCATGTACCAAACATGAAAAGAAAAGGAAAAAAATTGTCTGTTACGTCAATATTATAGTTATGGTGTTAACTATTCGGTTTAAATTGAAAAACCGAACTGAATTTTTTGTAGTTTTTTGGTTTCATTTGGGTTTTTGAAATTTTGAGTTTGATTTAAATTGAAAACTGAATTTATTATTTTTTAAAAGTTTTAAAATAATAAAAATAAATCAATAACTCAATAACTTAACATTATTATAAATTATTATAAATATAAGATGGATTGGAAGTGTTATTGGTCTATTTACTGTATTTAAAAAGGTTAAAAAAAATCTGAATTTTTTTTTGAAAAATTTGTGTGTGAATTAATGCTTTATATTGTGTGAAATAGGAGCACTGGACAAGGAGTTAGAACAATTCACCGTAAAGCATTGTTAGAGGCTCTGGCAGAAGAGTTGCCAGCTGACTCAATTCGATTCTCTTCCAAGCTTGCTGCCATTGAAAATCAAGAACAAGGGGGTGATGCTTCCATTGTTGTTGTATATTTGGAAGATGGAACAACAATCAAATCTAAGGTTCTGATCGGCTGTGACGGGGTGCACTCGGTAGTGGCACGTTGGCTAGGACTGGCTGAACCAGTCCATTCGGGGCGATCAGCTGTGCGTGGTTTGGCTGTTTTTCCTCAAGGCCATGGATTTAAGCAAGAAGTTCACCAGTTTGCAGATGAGGGAAAAAGGGCTGGTTTTGCCCCCCTCAATGACAGGGAACTTTACTGGTTTTTAGTCTGTAAAGGTCAGCACTCTTTTAAGTCTTCACCCTTTGTTTTTTTCATTTTAGTTAGCACAAATGTTGGTTAATGTCAGGTCATTTCAGAGGAAAATATGACTGGAGAGGCAGAGCAAATACAAAGACAAGTACTCGAAAAATATGCAGAAAATTTTCCTCCCGTATACCTAGACGTGGTCCGGCATGCCGATCTTTCGATACTAACATGGGCACCGTTGATATTTAGGCCTCCATGGAGAGTCATATTTGGAAATCTTGACAAGGGAAATGTCACAGTAGCTGGTGATGCAATGCACCCCATGACTCCTGACCTAGGACAAGGTGGTTGCTCATCACTAGAAGATGCTGTGGTATTGGGCAGACACATCGGCAATTCAGTTATAAAAAGTGGAGGACTGATTGTTCCAAGAGACATGGCTAAAGCCATAGATGATTATGTGAAGGAAAGGAGGTGGCGTGCCACTTTGCTCATCACAGGGTCGTATTTATCAGGGTGGATGCAGCAAGGTGGAGGAAAATGGTGGCTGAAATTTTTTGGGGATAGGATATTTTATAAGTATCTTTTTGGTTGGCTTGCTGAACTTGTACGTTATGATTGTGGAAAACTTCCTGCCATTTCCTCTTGAGGGAAGGGATCACCCCAGCAAGAAGGACTAGATTTCAGTTTTGGTAATGATTCTGCAGATTTTTAGTTTCAAACCATTAATGCCCTTAATTATTACAAGAATATTAGTCTCTTTCTGCTGCTTCCAACATCATAGTAAGCATTAATAGTTTACGAGTGGCTGCTAAAAGAATATTAATGATACTTGCAATAAATTAAATTTATCTGCTGGTTTTACAAAGCAATAAAAATTGCTCTTGAGATATCAATTAAAGTATTCAACTTGATAATATTTAAATTGCAAAACTTGTCAATTATTTCAGACTTATGTCAATGATTTGCATAATTAATAAATTAAGTCAAATATTTATACTTTGTCAAAAATTTTGATATTGATTACAAAATTAAAGTGATTTTGTATAATTAAAGGATATTTATTCCATTCAAGAGGGTTAATAAAAATTAAGGAGGATTCAATGAGGATGCTTTCGTGCATTGATACTCCTTATATATTGTTTTTAATGAAATTTTTAGTATTTTTTTATTGAAAAAACTTTAATTATTGTGGAAATTATTTTATTTATACAACTTTTTTTTTAGAATTTTATTAAAATTTTGCCTTTTCAATACTACATTAATTTCTGACTCCGTCAGTTATCATATTCCAATCGATCTCATTATGGATGAAATCAAGAAAGTGTATCCATGAAAAAAAAAATTATGGTGGAGATTGAAAGCCCAACTATAAGAGAAAAGGGAAGAGATGGATGATGAATTATTAATAATATGTACATTTTAGATGTATTACTTTGGAAATCAAACAATATGGTTGATTAAGGATCAATTTTAATAATAATTTTATTCTTAGGTTCTGACAAAAAGAATTTTGGTTGAAGAAAGGAACTCTGTTGACTTTTCAAACATTGTTTGCCTGATGGTCCATAAATTGTCTGCTGAAAGTAAGGAAAATGATTCATGGAATGATAATGATAAGCGACGTCATATAGATCTGCAACGTATCAAGCCACTGGAAAGTTCTCCGAAATTTCTGTCCTTTTTTTGGCCTTTTCAGTTTGTATGCGGTGTGAGCTGAACCCCTCTAGTAGAAACATCATTGCTTAGCTCAAAGATGCGTACAATTGCAAAATCTTAGCATTGAATGTTTTTTATTGTAGTCATATGTCATTTTTTTTTTCATAAAATTTCAATCTAAGACTTTTTATTTTTTCATTTATACATAATATATTTATTTAAAAAATTTAAAATAATCTCTTTCTATATTGTTTTAAACCGTGTTATTATTATAATTACATGAATTGTTATCTAGTTGAATACATAAAAATATTGTATAGTTTATTTCGTAGCAACGTACGAAATGTATGTTAGTAACTACGGTTATAAAATAATATAAATAATATTTTAAAATCTCACTCAACGACTTTAATTTTGAATTGAGATAATTTTTTTATATGATAACTAACTTTTACCTAACGAGATATATTAAAAAAATATATAAATCATGTCTCTCTCGTAAAAGTTTTATGGGCCACACCTATAAAAGAAAAGGAATATTGTTATCTTATCTTCCAATAGTGTTTTTTTTTTTTTTAACTCAAATACTCTTAACAAATATAACACTTATGACCTAAAACTTAGATTATAAGTCGAGGATATTATTGGTAATGTTTGCATTTATTAATATTTCTCATTCCTAGTACAATGAATGCAAAATATCAAACCACATCTCCTTATTCGGTATAGTTAATTAATATTCGTAGCGAAAACCTAGTAAATATAACTAATTAGGTCCAAATTTTATTGAAAATTAAGTATAAATTCTTCTCAAAATAAGTCTTTTTGTAAAGAAAATAATCTTTAGTCAATTATATAGAAATACTTCAATTTTTGCTTGAAAAATCATAATCATAGAACTTACTTTTAATACTTTAATAAAATACCTTAAAACAAAATAAACTGATTTGTCTTTTACATTTTTCTCATATCCTTTTTATAAAAATTCGAGTTCAATAACTAAATTAGTTAATTAATTAATCTAATTCAATTATATTTCCTTAAAATCCAAATTAATTGTCAAATAACCCAATTAACGAGAAAATAATCAATTTGTCTTTGCATATTTAATTATCAATTAAAATAGTTCATTACAAGCTTAGAAAACATTTATTCCAATTAAATGAAGTTAATCGATTAAATTTAATCCATTAAACTCAAATATTCCTTACCAATTATATTCAATTGCTATCAACTTATTAATTCAAATTAATTCATACCAATTTAATCTAAGCCATTAAATCAATTAATTCATTTAACTCTTTAACCATTTAATTCATATTGAATACAATTTAATTTCCTTATTTACTCCAATTAATTCTTTACATTATTTATTTAGTCTAGCCATTAAATTTATTCATTCAAATTTCAATTAAACTCAACTAAACATAACTATTTATTTAGTATCTAAAGTTGGTCTAGAAATGTCATTACCTTACAAACGTTAAGTGCTAAATCTAGCACACTTTTAGTCCAACACATACTAAAAATAAAGAAAAGATTTGTTCATTCACACCTAATTTATTAAGTATACATTTCGGCAAATCGATCTTCCTTTAGCTACTTGAGTCACCGATGGCATGTCGTATTACCAATAAATTAGTAATTTATATTATGTCCTTACAGAGCTTTTGATCATGGTTATGTAATCGGGGCAAGTAAGGGTCGAACCCATAGGGAAGGAGGCTTAATTGAAATTTTTTTTTTTTTTTGTAGAGTGTTTTTATCGTGTAATAGGGGAGTTTTGTATTTGGAATGCTTGAAAACAATGAAAGTAAATCAAAATAACAATGATAAATAAAACCTTTGTTGAGCTTGAGCATCCACTTTTAATTTGGTCGCCGATCATTGATTAAATAATTAACTTATCTTAAACATGAATATTCACCGTAAGATAACAACATGTATGTTGACTCCAATCTTTCCTTACCTAGTCGTTAACCGAATATACGATACTCAATTAATTCTCTAGCTATTGAAAAACCTACTAAGTGCTAGATAGATTTAATCTAATAATAGTATTAAGATAAGAAAGATAAGTGAAGCTAAGCTACCTTCCTAAGCGCTAGAGAAGATGTAACCGAGTTCTATATTTTTCAAGGGATTGAATGAAAACATCACTAATCATTAACCACTAGTTTCTACCATAAGCAATTTTAGACAAGCAATTATACGAATTTGAATACTTAGCTAGCAAAAAGTAATATGAATAAATAACTAGCATGCACTCTAATTGAATTAATCATACAATTATGAACCAATCATGTAAAAAAACATAAAACACCCAATAGAGATAAGTCTAGAAATAAATCTAGTAATCTCATAGCGATTAACCAAAAGCTTGAACTTGATTCAACCAAAAATAGAATTTAGTTGCTCATAATATAAAGAGAGTATTCCTATAAATGGTGGTCGCTAGGAGAAGAGAATGAGAGAGAGCTAAATAATACCCTAGCTTTGCGATTTATAGCAAAAGGTAGCGTTACAACACACTCCTAGCTGTCTACAAGTGTCACACGGATTGCTTAGCTAAGGCATATAGCCGTGTGCCTTTTGCACTTTATCTCTTATCTTTTATTGCTTCATCCCATGTAAAAGCCTTCTGCTTGTATAGAATTTGCCTTCAAACCATGTAAAAACCTTTCTACTCATGTGGAATTGCACTACAACCCTTTTCTTTTTGAATAATTAGCTTGAATGGACTTGCTACAAGCCAAATTAGGGTTTGTGCTCTTCATAAAAGTTATATCCCTATGTCTTATATTTTCACTGTAATATGGATTGCATCAATTGGACATTTACAACTCCTATTATGAGCTAAACAAGAACATAGACTAAATCTATCCGTCCACCCTTAGGATTCCATTTTACGACTAAATTCCTCCATGATAACGACCTAGTTTAGATTCAAATCCTTCATAAGACCCGAAGGTATGCCTTTTAGGTATTCCATGGGTTTGACTTTGCATAAATTAGAGTTTCAAAAAATCTAGATTTGAATTAAACACCACAAATGATCCGGACTTTGAATGGGATTCAAACCAGTTTTATAGATCGGAATATGGAATATCATTTAGAGGCTCAAACCAACTTGGATTTTTACCCACTATATTATTCTGAAAAGCTTGAGATGTCCTCTATAAAGTTTTTGAGTATTACTTGTTCCAAATCCAACTTTAAGGCTTCAAAAAACCAATAAGAAGTCTAAAAGGTCAAAGTTAATCATGCTCGAACATCCACACGATTTCCTTCTTTGTTCCATATGGCGAGTGTCTCCTTAAACTTCCTTAGTGGCTTTTAGCTTCTTGTTGCTTTTGGCTTGGGTTTCTTGCTTAAATTCTATATTTTTTCTTACAAAACCTGAAATCGTTATCTTTATCTTAATTTTCTAAATATAGTATAATAAATGCTAGAAAGTTCAATGTAAAAGAGCATAAAAATCATGGTAATTATGTACTCATCATTCACTCTATTATTTTGACCTTTTTTCACCTACACCACAAAAAATAAAAGGCGAGCTAAAGCTAAGTAAATGTAGTCCATACATAAAATGCACTTGGTGAAATTAAAATCCTTTTCGTGCCATTTTGAAATTCATTTTTCTTCTTGAGTGCACCCTATCGATTGTTTAATCAATCGACCATCGTTTAAAATATGCATTTTGTAAAAACTCACAAAAGCATTAGGGACCTTCTCTTTTTCATTAACATTGCCGTTTTCATTTCCATTTCTATTTTCTTACAAGACAGTGATCATTTCTCCGCAATTCATTTGAACGTACCTAGGCATTTTCTTTGAAAATATATCTTGTTTCTTTTTCTTTTATTAAAATCATGAATAAAAATCATTTTTCATGATAATGATATGAATATGCATTTAAATGAAATGGATAACTCTAACCTTCACAATGAACATGTATGCCTAATAAATCAAATGTTTGTGTAAACAACC